AACCCGCATTATGATTATTTTACAAAATATATTGCTTGGTACTGAGAGTAGAGTAAGTCCCCTCCAATTATTGCAGTCTGTTAAATCTCCTTTTTTTTGATGATTTGGACTATTGTTCCTTCAGTATCTCACGGGATTGAAAATAATAAAAGGCAGAGGTTCTAGACATTGCGAATGATAAAAAAAAGGGGCTGGGGAGGGGTGAGGGAGGGGTGAGGGGGGGTGGGGAGAGGGTAAAAGAAAAGAAAAACACTATTAATATTTACATTAAAATACACATTTTAATTTTGTTGTTGCTGTTGTAAACATTACTGGAGGGAACCGTCAAAGGTGAGAGAGCAAGATGTGGGCCACAATATTTGAGAGAGTGTAATATCAAGACAAGAGATAGGGCAGGTTGGAGATGCATTGTAGCCGATCTGGTCAAACTTCATTGTGGAGATGACACCTGATTTTTTTTAAACAGAAACACAATGTTTAAAAAAAAATTTGCTTTCTTATTATTGTTCAGTTTGTAAAAGAGTGGTTGGACTGTGGTTTACAGCTATGCTGCGATATGTGTGCTTTCGGTCTAACACATACGATTACAGCTGTCACTTTATTGGAACCAATGCTATTTCAATGCTGAAGCACGACGCAGTTTCCCTTACTTGTGCATCAACTACACTTCTCACATGACCATATCAACTCTTGTGGTACACTATATTTTGTGCTTTATTTCTTTCATATGTACAAAATGCGTCACCTCTGCGATGTTAGCATATGCCTATCCATGACTGTTCTAGCAAGATCTTTTGCAGGAAACATTGTTATATTCTTAAGCCTGTCTGTCTCTTTTAGTAAAAGTGTCTACCCTCTGACCTTTATTGTCCAACTCCAATTTCGTTTATGAAAAAAAAAAAAAAAAAAACACCACCTTCAACCTGCTGCTAGCTAAACGAAGCTGCCAACAGTCTGCGGCTATATTTGTGGTCTTGTTTATTTGTGTCACTTTCGTGGCTAAAGTTCTGGTATTTGCGCTGTATCTGGACCTAATGCTTCTTCTCTTCTCCAAGTCAGACCGCTCATTCCATATCCTGTTGTCCTTGGTGTTCTTCTTGTCCTTTCCTTTCTGATGTTTCCTCCTTGGTTTCAGTTCCCTGTGATTTAGCTAGGCGTATTTAGTAGGAGAGTCTGCTTCTCAACATGGTCCTTTGGACCAACGTTTCTACAGTATAGCGTACCAACCCGAAGACCATTAAAAAAAAGGTGAAATATATTTATTTACATGCCTACTGCAGATATAGATACGAAAACAAATCCCAACTCTACTAGTAATTATAGTCCTCCATATTTAGGACCAAAACTGCTTTTAATGGCAGCATTCGACAGACTCCTTATTGCAACTGGTCCTTTTTCTTATCAGTTACTGTCTATATTGTTACGTCTGACCGTTTTCTTATCTCTAAAAAAGACATGTAACGCCGTTGGGAAAAGCATAGACGGATTTCTAATCATGTTGCAGCTGACATTGTTAGCTAAGTACATTTCTTTGGCTACTGAGGAAGGAAGACAGAGCACGTGTGAGAATGTCTGAGGGTATGAAAGAGGGCATTCTGCATTATAATTCCTAATTCGTTTAATCAGTAATTAATGACGTATCTGGTGCTACGTGAATAGTTTATTTCTGACGGGGACTAGCGTATTTATTACTAACGTATACATACTTTGGACAGCCAAAAAGAGCAACCAAGAGGTTTTGAAAGAGGCGGGAGCCCGAAAACAACTTATCACAGACATGAGAAGGAGACAGTAATCATATTTTCGGCCATGTTGTGAGAAGAAGGAAAATAGAACATGTTGTGACCATTGGAAAGATCTGTGGAAGAAAGGATAGAGGAAGACAACGAGGAAAGATTCTTGACAATCTTGTTGCATGGCATGGAGGTGTGTCCGCACACGAACTGATACATGCTGCAGGAGATCGCAGATTTTGGAGAGGCATGATCGCCCACGCCAGTCGGCAAGGCACCTGATGATGGCGATGATTCATTCTAACGACAGTCGTCGTAATGCTGACTACTTTACCCACCTAATGCCGATTGGTCTGTAAGAATATAGGTGCTCTTCTCATATGCCCGATGTGCCTCAAGGCGTTAAAATGGATCTTTTCATTTTTTATACACTTTTACATGCCCGGGACGTAGACAAAAGTAACTTTACATGTGGTACACCGTTTCAGTGTCCTAACCCACTGTCTCTGTATGATCGTGCTCATTTAATCACCCATCACTCTAATGTGCGTCTCATTGTGTGCATTTGGTGTTTAATTTATTTAAGATCTATTCTTCCTATACGGTGATGTATGGGACGACAAGCCATACTCGTCATCTTGTTTCCAGAGACAATAGGCAGCTTCTAAACCTGCTGCATTTGCGTATAGAATGTCACAATTATCACAGCTGTTTCCTGGGAATGTCCATACTGAACGTCATCTAGTTTTGAGGTTTGAACAACTGATCAACATCATGCCACACGAGTAGTAACCCATAAGTGCTCCGTTCTTCTTCCAATTCCGAAGAAGTTCAGCACAATGTGCAGGCTCTGTAGAATCCTCAAATACTATGAGTAGATTTTTAACTCCACATTTTGTCCGGGCAGCGCCGCACGGCTACTTTTTTCGATTTCCAACTGCCAAGGGATTTTTTTTTTACCTGCTCAACAATGAACACGTGCATCTGATCTCACTACTTAGAGACCAGGAAGAATCACTAGAACTCCGAATGAGGTTGATAAATCCCAACCCTCACCGAGGATTGATCCCACAATGTCCAGCACTTGAGGCGGACACCATGCCTCCAGACAACGAGGCTCCCGTCATCTAGGATGTTGATAAAAGCATGTTTCCCCTTAATATCACAAAGTGTAGACTGGCCCTCTATAGCACTAACCATACTGCCTCTTTTCTCTCACCATATATAAATCCAGCTGCATATCCTCAGAATCTAGACTATCGTAGTGGGTGGTGGGTGTTGAGCTAAGAAATGAGAATAAAGGACTAATAAATTGTCCATAGGCGCTCTGTCCTCACAATCAGCAGCCAGGAAGAGCTCCAGTTCTGATAGTGCCAGTAGCAGTTTCATTATATGGCAATCTTGCCCTTTTTATTTCTCGACATAGTTTCCACCAACATTGATGCACTAATTCCAACGTTTCATCTGTCCTCCGAAACCTGATGCATAGAACTGCGTGCTCTGTTTTCTGACCCACATTTTCTGACCCACATTTCCATGTTTGCGTCGTTTGTGAAATGTCTCCCACCAAGGTGGGTTTTCAGCGGACCAAAACCAAGTGAGCACCCTATTGCAGCTGCTACAGAATCAACCGTTACTCGCCTGTCACTTTCAATCATCTCCGCATCGCGCTGCACGGATGTATCTTTTGCACTCTCAACAGGCCGACCAAATCAGAATTAGTTAACAATCGTATAGCGTCATTGAGACAAATTACTTACTCACATCTGCACTGCTTTACGGGATAAAGAACTGTTAGCATAAAAAGGAAGCATCTTATAAATGTCTTTTGCAGGCAGCTCCCCCCCCCCCCCCCCCCCCCCCCCACCCCCCCCCCCCCCCCCCCCCCCCCCCCCCCCCCCCGTCCCTTTTTTTTTTCCTTTTTCCGAAATTCAAAACGCAAAACAGCATGTTGTTCTTTGAGAGTACACTCTGTAGGTACAGTAGCCATTTTGTTTCTGTGTTGCACAACGCCACCTGACGAGCGAAGATTTAAAGTTCGATGTTGCTGTCACCTAGTGACACCTTTAGGAACCACCAACTACATCCTGTTTTCATTACATGACCAGAAACGTTTTCTCCTTCTCACTGTTGTATATAATGTTCTACATTAATTGGCCATTTCCTGGCATTCAATGTTGCTTATTCTGGCAGTCCAACGTGTTTTCAAAAACTGCATCTCAGTTGCGTCCCAATTCTTCTTAATTTCATCATTAATTTCATAATAACCCTATGTAATTCATATTTGCTGTTTTTACGGTGACTATCAAAACAATTAGTGAAAAGCACATCATGACGAATCTTTCTGAGAATCAACAAACTCATGTGCTGCTGTTTTGTGATATGTTTTTTTTTATTGGGAAAAAGTATGTGTCCGAATATTTTAGCATACAATGCTCTACTGCAGATAAGGAACAAGTTCTTCTCAGATTCTATTGTTATTACAGGTTTTCATTGATATAATTCAGCGCTCTGAAATGTATTGGAAAAAGCTATGTGTTGTGTGTCAAGATTGAGAACCACTGATGTGAGGCACGTAAATAAATGATGTTCTATTTCGGTGCACGGCTCATTCCTGATGTCATCGTTCCATTTTTTCGCAGACTTTCTCTTGCTCTGCGTTAGATTCTTGGTGTGGTTAAGGTCTGAAGTCTGAACAACGGATCAACACAATGGCACACGGGTAGTAACTCATGAGTGCTCCCTTCTTCTATTAACTTGTCTGAGTCCAAAGAAGCTCACATAGTGCACGGGCTCTTTAGCACCGGCGACGATCTTGAAATACTTTGGGTAGATTTTTACCTACAAATGTTGCCCGGGAAGCGCCCTAAGGCTGCTCTTTTTGATTTCCAATGCCAGGGAATTTATTACGTGCGCAACAATGCACACGGGCATCCGATCTCACTACCCATAGACCAGGGAAAATTACTAGATGTCAAATTTCAGCTGAAAAAAATACCAGCTCTTACCGGGGATTGAACCCGGAACCTCTACCACTCGAGGCAGACACCATGCCTCGAAATTACGCAGCCCCCTCTCGGTGTGGTTAATTACAGATGGCAAAACAATGTCATTTTCATTTTGATGAACTGCATGTCTGGTCCGCGACGTGTGACAGCAAAGCATTGTGTTGATGCTGCTGCTGCTGCTGTTGCTGATGGTGATGATGCTGATAATGATAGGGCTAAAGATTAAACACCGTAGCTCTAATTAGTAATCAAAGTCACA